ACAAAGACAATTTCTTAAATTTACTTTTTAATGAAGTATCACTAGTGAGATCGATGAGTTGTTCTTGCTCATTTACCTTCAGAGATCATGGCCCAGGAGCATTTTCGAATGGATTTTTAATCCAATTAAATTTATCAAAATCATTGCAAAAGTATTTTTCGAAATGAACTTTCAACATTAGGAGAAGATGAAGTAGGCAGCTTTTTATGTCCATTGGAAGCACTGGATTATCAGTGTCTTGTACCATTGACAGCAGAGTATGGAACATGTCTAGCGTGTCACTTTCCATACTGTTTCTCCAGAGCTCTAATTTTCTCACGAATTCCTTCACTTTGTCATTCCATGAAAATACAGTTGCCTCATTCCCTTGAAGTGAAATGTTGAGGATATTTAGTTTCTCAAATATATCTGTGAGGTAAAACCATTTTCAATAAAAAAATCCTTGTTGCTGAGACTGTCTGCCAGTGAGTGATTTTCCCCATTAAAAGAACACATCTTGTCTCAGCTTAAACACTCTCTTTGATACCTTGTCTCTTGAAAGCCATTGAACACCACTAAGGAACAACAGAGCAGTGTGTTCGGCACACATTTCCTCACACAGCATTTTAAGAAATCTTGACTTCAGAGGATTTCAGAGGATACGGCTGCTGCCAAACTATCAACGCTTTCTCTGGCATACGACTTTTATAATTGCCGGTAAAGAGACTAATTATTGGTTATTTTGAAATTCATGATAATTAAAGCCTGTACTCATCAAAAGTTTTTCTATTTGTATTTTTATATTTTGTTACTTTTCTAATTGATTTTGGGCAGTTTTAATTTTTATGTGTATGAAAGTATGCTGCGCCCCTTTTCAAGCCCTACGCCCCCCTGGCTTAGCGCCCCACAGTCTGAGAACCACTGTACAAAGCAGTGCTTTCGTACTACATTATAGCGTTCCCAGGATCTATAAATGCTGAAGTTTATCATTTATTTTCTGTCACACTTGCAGTCTGTATCCGTATAATAACATAGAGGTGTCACTGTGTTGAGGATTTGCTTTAGGATAACTAAAAGTAAAAAAGTAAAGGTAAAGCTATCCAGGTACCAGGCCGTGAAGGCCCATAGGATTGTGAGATGTTGAGGGTCCCACACTATCTAGACAATCGGCTCAAAGTTGGCGGTAAGGTTGTCAACCTTACGCACCGGCTGCACTTATCCTTCCAGCCGCACTAGGCCCTGGGGTTTACTCAGCGTCTATCAGAAATGAATACCAGGAATTTAGGATAACTAATGATTTGTGACAATGTGTGACATATTATAGACACTTGTTGCCTCTTGCCCTTTCTTTGAAGTAAATTGGATATACCTGACACGTTTGAAGTTGCCTCTATACCAGCTGTCAGGTGATTGGTTTGCATAACAATTTTTTTTTGTTGTTTTTGGTTAGACAGAAAGATGGCTATCATTAGTTACAGAGAATGTGTAAGAGGTGTAGAAATCAGTAGTGAAGAACTGGCACTGGCAAAACATCTTAATACAAGTATATAGACACAATTGTGGTGAAGTGAAATGTTCAATGCATGTA